GGCCTCCCCCTGCCCCGCCGCCCCGGGCCGCAAGCGCCGGCTCTCCCCGGGGGGAGGGGGGGGCCCTCTCCGTCCCCAGCGCCTTTTTTTCCTGCTTTCAATGTCCTCCTGGGCCACCTCGGCGGGGTCGCACCTAAGGGGCGCCGGTAACGAAAAGCTCCGGATCTGGAGAGCCCGGCCACTTTTCCGGAGACGATTTGCTTCAGCGCAACGCGGGGATCCGCGGGGTCCCGTGGCCGGCGTGTCCCGGCACCTGCGACCCGCGGCCCTGGGGGGACAGCGCTGCTCTCCGCCCCTCCCGCAGCTCGCAGACCCGGCGGAGCTGCCTCCCTCTGCGGCGCCTTGTTTCAAGTTTTCCTCCCACATTTCGTTCGCTTTCAGGACCGGTTTGCTCGGAGGATAATGCCCCTTCCGACTAGGTGGAGGATTAGTAGGAGCGATCATCGAAACACTAGCCTTTCCCGTTAGAAAAGCCGGAATAAAAACAGCGCAGGCCAGAAAGACGCGCTCGTTTCCTTTAAACGAGGACCGAGTTTTACAAAAGTCGAGCTAGGGGATTTAGTGTCCTGGTCGTTACCTAGATCACTGTCTTCCTTAAAAGCCATGAAGGCATTTCCCGTCACTGCTAGTTCATGCCGCTCCTCGGCATCGCCTTCATTTATTCCTTTTGCTGCGGAGCACTTGGCGGTGTTGGGTATTTGGGGGGGGGGGTTTAATCAACGAGATCGCATTAAAAGCTCTGATGAGGTCAGAGAAAACTGGTCCCCACTATCCATGTTTTCTTGGCCAGGCTTGCGGTGCAAGGAGCGCATTTAATGTGCTGATCGCAGCCGTGCCCCGCTCACCTCCTCGCTCCCGCACGACGCGGGGTTTAGGGACATTTGCGGGTAACGGAATGGGAGCAGTAGGGATTATTGCTGGGAAATTGAGCCCGGGAGGCCACGGCCCCGGTGCCCGAGGACGCGGTGAGAGTCACGGGAGGAGGCTCTCAGCCCCCGTTTGCGTCCCGGGAAGGGAGCCGAGGCACTTCGCGCTCGCGGCTCGTCCTGCCAGACGTGCATTTTATGCCGCTTCATCTGAACGCGACGCGAGCCCCGGGGCACGGGCACGGGCACGGACGCATCGCCCGCTCCGGGGATTGATCCTTGTACTCTGCCCGAGCCCGTTTTCTGGACAGAGATGCGGGGCCGACACTTCGGCCCATGATCTCATCCGCTCCGGGAGCCAGCGACGCCTCCGCGAGATCCCAGGGAGAGATGCGTGGGCAGATGGGCTCTCAGCTCTCTGAAGGTTGCAGGGAAGGGTTTTTTTTTTTATTATTATTCTTTAATAAGGAGATTTCTTTTCGAAAAGTGGTTAGAGCAATCACACGGTGCATGAAACACACGCTGGCTGTCAATCAAAAAGGGGGTGCTTTGGTCAGGAATAATCAGGGGTTTTGTTTCCAACATTAATGAAGTGGCTGGACTAGCAAACATCTGCCAAGGGGACTCAAACCCTGCACAGCTGTTGGAGCCACCAAGCCCCTTCCCATGCAAGGCGGCCTGGCTGGTAACCACCTCTCCCCTATGATTTCTGTGCTTGCAGAATGGGGTTGGGGGAGGGAGACTGTATGCCTTGAAAGGTTTGGAGGCAGGCTGGCATTTCAGAGAAAAGGACTGGAAAAAGGTGTATCCACCTGAGGTGTGATAGCAGCCGGCTGGGACTGACGCGTGTGTCTTTGTACGGCGCGTGCACATGTTGGAAAGGGTAAGGAGCCCAGGAACCAGATCCTTCTGCCCATGGACTGCAGTAGGAATTTCTTGTTGTGCAAGGACTGTATCGAATCAGGGATGAAGCTGGCAGTGTTGGAGTGAAGTTGTAGCTGTGATGGTCCAGGAATTATGCTAGCGGCAAGGATTTGGGGGGAGACGGCATCTTTTATTGGACCCACTGCATGGTTGGGATAAAGTTAGACAAGCTTTTGAATGCAAGGCATTCTTCATCAGGTCAGAGGGCATGAAACCACTAGTCATCTAAGCGTGGCAAACAGTTCTGTGTCCTTACATGATAAAGGCAAGACGGGACATCTTTGCTTTGGGGAAATGAGAGCAGAGTGGCCGGATGATAAAGTCACCTGCCTGGGCAGTCAGCAGAGAAATGAGAGGCCTTGCATTCAGGGCTTCAGGTGACTCAGGTCCTGCTCCCCACTTTGGGGCAGGCTTCTTGTCTGGCCTCAGTCAAACCATGCATGACTTTTCAGACAACCCTGCCTCACTACTGCTCTGCACTTTGACCTACCACTTCCACCTGTGCAAAGTCATTGGGAAATGCATGACTATACTCACTTTATACAGGTGGAAGTGATGGCAAGGGGTGCAGGAGATGCTGAATTGGGCCCTGAGAACTTGGGTAATTCCAGCATTGTTGGATGTGCTAGTTTAGACAAGGTACAGGGCTTTAAGCTACTGTGCTGGTGGCTGACACTGCCCTGAGAAGGTCCCATGTTTCTACAGCACCTAGCGCAGTGGGTCCTGGTTCATGAATGGAAGAGAAACAATGGTAGGAAACCTGCTCATTCTGTCAACACCAGCACCTGTATTGCTAATACTGGTGCAAACTCAGTGAGGAAAGTTTGCCGTCTGCATGCCCGTGCTATACCTGACCCATGGACAGAGAGAGCAGTTCAGTCTCGAGGACTGTCAACAGCACAAAATTCACACACACAAAGAATTTAATACGCAAAAACCATTTATTATCTCTCTGGTTCACCTTAAAGGCACCCATGTCTCAGAACACATCACTTGTTGCTCCACACTGTTTCTTTGCTGAATCTAAGGATAGAGGCACAGTTCACACAATGCCAGTGGCAGCAATTTTAAGTCTCTAGATGAATTTCTTTTCTTTGTTTCCAAATAAATTTAACCTATCCAAAAAAAAAAAAAAAAGTAACACAAAGTCTCTCTCTCACAGTAGGGTTATAACTTCAGCGTTACAAATTTCACATCAGAGAAGGTTTTCATTGGAACCTGAAAGAAAGGGATCAAAAAGGATACAGAGATGAGGAGAAGGAAGGTGCTTGATATGTAGTTAGTGGATGAAATGTCTCTGTCTGTAAAATCACTGCTAATTGCTTCATTAGCATCTATGGATTCGGTTTCTCTGTTTCACTCCACCTAGCACCTTAGCCACCCTGCCCAAAGAGATCGGAAGGAAGATTTGCCTTTACATGATGATCTGCAGAATTTATTTCCCAGCCGAGGGGCTGTCACATAACCAGTGTGCCCTGTCAGTTGAGCTACTTTGAGTGTCAAGTCATATGTGTGTGTTTCAGTGACCAGGCTGTTACTGAGTCCTTCCTGGCATGGACTGGCGTTCCCAGCCTCTTCAGTCCTGGTTTCTCACTCCTGATTCTGGGCTCCTAGCAACCGCAGGCAAAATCAAGTGTTCACTTAGAGAGGCCTATATTTGGCCCATGCTCTGGTACATGTAGTATCTGTGCAACACTCATCAGAAAATTATACCTGCCCTATCAACAGCTTTCTAAACACCTACAGTTCTGCCACTGAGCCGGTCCCAGGACTTGGTGATTTATTCTCTCCAGTTTGGTGTGTCCCTTGATGCCTTAAAAAGATTGCAGGGCACACCCCGAGATGAGCTCATGGAATCTCACCTGGCCACTAGGGAAGCCAATGGCAAACTCCATCTGATTTCAGTGGTAACAGACCCTAGAAGAGTAGAGGCTGCTAAGTTTGTGCCTAGATGTGCTTCCCCAAGCCCCATCTATGCTACCTGGAAAGGGACTAAAATAATTGGAACTACCTAGGAACTGCAATTTCCATTCTGGAGGACAAGCATGGCTGGTTTTAACATGGATCCCATTTTGACTGGACACACGTTTTGTGGTTCACAACCCCAAACCCGATTCAGGGAACAAGATGAAAATAGCAGACCTGTTGTTCGCTGGGCTTTTGAATATCCTCACTTAGAGGCAGCAAGGCCCAGGGGCTAGAGCAATGCACTAGGCAGGAGACCCACATTCCTCTCCTGGGGGTAGCTGAGTGACCATGAGATAGTCGCTTCCCCTCCCAGTGCAAGAGGAACTGATCCTTGTAGAGCACTTTGAGACCTGTGTATGAAAAGCTCTGTCCAAAAGTACAAGGCAACGATTCTGATAAGTGCACACATGCAGGACCTGATTCTGATTTTACACCAACGGAAATAAGACATGGGATTAACAAGGAGATTGGAGTCAGGCCCTCATTCTGGAAGCGTTCTCCCCGCAACCTTCACAACACAAAAAGAAGCAACGTATAGAAACCAATCTATGTGCACTCTAAGAAAAACCAGTTGCATCGATACTTTGCAGTAGTACTTTAAACCAGAGGATCTTAATGGTCTTTGAGAACAGTGATTAATTGAGCCTCTCTGCCTAGCTGAGGTGTCATCACACCCCATTTCTAGATGATGAGGCTGAATCCCAGAAAGATTAAGTGACTTGCCCAAGGTCAATAACAGAGCAGGAAATGGAACCTAAGTCCTGACTCATGGGGTCTGGCTCCAATCCCATGGCAATGAAAGTGAAGAAAATAAATCAAGTTTCAAATCTCAGTTTATGTAACCACTCCCT